AAGCGAACATTTGAAAGCACACTTGCATGTTGTGCCTGTAGCTGAGTGCACAAAGATGCTGGCTGAATTAGTTGCGGCCGAAAGAGTTCGAGTTCAAATCTCACTATGCAGAACATACAATTTAAAATCTTTACTTTCGTTTTTTTCTAATTTTAAAAAAGTATCTGTGAAGTGCACAACGAAAAAAAGTGGTTCGGTTACAGGTTACATGTTACTACTACAAGTACTAGTGAAAAGTTACGCAGCGGGAGTCAATTGTCACCTCCTAGGACAACCCCATGTTAAATGCGACAGTAGAAAGCATGNTGTTTCCGCTGCAGGGTATCTATCTCGACTCTTTTTGGCAGTTAGAAACAACCGTTATGCGAACAAAGTTATCATATCCTCGTGCAAAAGTGCGCTCGGGTATAAACATTTTTCGTTATTGATTTTCGATTACTAATAAGAGAAAGCTTAAAATTTTTTAATGGCAAAAACCTTCCAAAAATTAAATGGAAGTTTGCATTGTTCCTCATTAAAAAACAGGACAATTTAAATGTTGATCAGGACACCTGGACAATTTGTCTAAACCAGGACAAATTGTGGAAAACCAGGATGCATGACTGCCATACACCAGGAACAACAAATTACACGCTCATTCAGTTACACTTACACAAGATACAAAGAATGCACACGAGAGCGAATACCATGAATAGTAACAATTTTATTTTTTCCTTGTAGAAACTACAATGGGCATCGAAATGAAAGAGGGATCCACTCAAAATAAGGAACTTGTGGAATCATTTAGCATGTAAGTACACTGAGTATGTGTATATGCATAAACATATATAATGTAAATATATCTACCGAAATAAATCCCCGCCCGAAAAGGCCAGACTGACTAATTGATCCCAAATGAGTGACCAAAGCGATTCGTCCAACGTCCACTGACGGTTACTTAAATAAATTTGCACTCTACTATTTCTCTTATAACTTAACCCTGTTTCAGACAAAAACTCACATACTGGACGGAGTGGGTTACGTGGTGCCAACATTCTATGCGACAAAAACTCGGTCAGACCGAGAGCATGTTTTATAGTGTCTTCTCACTTCACTGTGACCAAACTTGCACAGTGTCAGGACATGGTGGCAGCAAGGTTGAGTTTCAAGGGCAAAAACGGGTGTAAACCAGCGTTGCCATAAGTGAAGATTTATCTTCAAAGTAAAGACTATTTGGGCTGTTTTTATTAAAAATCTTCAAAAGCAGATTTAAAAAAATCACACTGAAAATATCTCCAAAATGAAGATTTTTGTGAATGATGTACGATTTTTAGGTTTAAATTAAAATTGTTAACTTATTTACTTCATCCTTGCTACATCATTGTAAGCAGCAAAGGAAGAAACAATTTTGTTTATGGTGAATACATTAAACGAATGACAACAATGGAAACTTTCAATTAAACTGCCATTTAAGAAATAGTTGGTGATGAGTCTACATGGATAAACTTATAACAAGGAATAAGGAGAGGTTAGCTTTATATAACAATATCCATAGAAAACCTAATTAAGAGGC